ATCATCCCCCATCACCAGGGGTAGAAGGTGGGCTAGAATCAGGCCTGGGGCTCAAAGGGCCCTTCACCCCATCACATGCCCTTCCCTCAGGAAGAAGGAAAGTCAGAGCACAGTTCCCCGCTCAGTGCCCATGGAGGGTGGGGGAGGAAATGCCAGGAATCCTCAGTCCCTACTCAGCAGCTTCCCACCACCACACACAAACACATCCCCACCCCCTTTTACATGCCTCTCTTCTGGGAGGGTCCGGTCCTCCCAGACACAGTGTCCTGTCCCCATTCTCCAGGGCACTGAGACCACAGCTGTGATCCAGCTGCAGAACCCAGTCCAGCCTCCCCACTGGCCCACTGCCAGAGACAGGAAGTGGGGAAGAGCTGTGCTGCCAGACACTGGGGAGGGGTGGGCGTCGGGCTGGAACTGAGCTGGCCTGGATCGTGTAGAAAAGACTGTAAGGGGCAGCTGTGAAGTGGCCTGCTCCACTTCTGGAGGGCATTGTTGGGGGCAGAGACTGTGCAAAGAATTGCTGTCACCCTGTTGCCTGGAGGGCTCTGTAACAGAGAGTGGGCTGGGAATAAGCCCAGGGGGAGCTGGGAGTCAGGAAAGTTGGGACTTCAGTTTTACCACTAACTCACTACATGACTTGCATTAACCCCCTTTCCTCTCTGGCCTCCATTTTCCTACCTGTGAAACTGGAACTATGTACTGAGCTCTCTGTACCAGACACAGTTCCAGAGATACACTAGTAAGCAAGGCAAATTCCTTGCTCCCGGGGAGTTTTACTTAACCACTATACACAGGTCAAGTGGCCAAAGTCTGTGAAGAATAATAAAGTGGTCTGAGGGGCAAAGAGTAAGGAGACTGGGATGGCTTCTCTTAGAAGGTGGCATGAACAGAGTAAATGAGGAAGAGGCCATGCGGATATTTAGGGGAAGCCCATTCCTGGCAGAGAGAAGGGCAAGTACAAAGTCTGTGGGACAAGAACATACCTGGCAAATTTTTTTAAATGAGGAAGTAGCATGGCTGGCAGGGAATAAGTGGGAAGAGACAAAGGCCAAGGCAAGCAGCTCCCAGCTCACAGAGGCTGAAGGCCAGTGTTAGGATGCTGCATTTTACTCTGAACTGATCAGAGGGCCTCTGGAAAGCCAGACCTGGGTTCGGGTACAGAGCCCACCTGGTGCTGTGTGTGTCATGTGGGAGCACTGAACGGGAAATATCTGACCTCGGCTCACTTACCCTGACATCATAGACAGTTCCTTTGGGAAGACACAGTATCAGGGCAGGGACTAGGCTGAGACATGTGAAGCCTAGAGTTAATGATACCCAGGAGCAAAACTTAAAGGGACATCAAAAAAACTCAGTCATTAAGACAAAATAATATTTTCCTACAATATGTTTACAAATAAAAATTAATGTCAAAAAGTCCTTGATGAACAAAATACCACCATTTTAGATAAAGACAGGATCTGATCCTGAATTTGTATAATCCTGTCTCATTGACTTCACCCTAATCTCAGCCCTGGTTCCAATAAAACTTTATTTATAAAACTAGGCAACTGGCCCTCAGATCTGTAGTTTGCCACCGCCCCCCTTTTAATATTGCTTTAAATACTATGTTGGCCCTACCTAAATTGTTCACCCTGGGCAAATGCCTTACTTACCTCATCCTACTCCTGGCCTTGGATAACAATGAAACTTTTAGATTACACATTGAGAACCCCAATGCTTATCTTTCCTGAGGCTCAGAGAGGCAAAGGGCCTTCAAAGATACATGGTGGATAGTGGAGCTGGGATGTGACCTCTGGTCCCATGCCAAGGCCCACTGCCTGGCCGTCATATTCTACCATGCTCCTTCCAAGAATGGTGATTTTAATGAGTATTGATTTTTTAAAAACTTTTTATTCAAGTATAATAGTTATACAAAAAAGTGCACATACCATAAATGTTCAGCTTGCTACATCCTTATAAATTGAGCACACCTGTGTGACCAGCAAACAGTGCACACCTGTGTAACCAGCACATTTTACATTTCCAACAAAGTAGACAGTAGTACTGGGCCAGATTCAGAGAGTTTTCAAGATCAAGCAAGAGACTCTGAACAATAAGACTCCACGTCTCGGTGTCCGTACACAGTGGTTACGGCACCAGCCACTTACACCAAGGCTGGTGGGTTTGAAACCAACCTGGGCCAGCTAAACGACAATGACAACTGCAACAAAAAATAGCCAGGCGTTGGGCAGCATCTGTGGCTCAAAGGATTAACGCACCAGCCCCATATGCCAGAGGTGCCCGGTTCAAACCCAGCCC